CTGGATATCAAACTGGTTTTCAGGAATAAAGTATTGCCTTTAGCGTACATTTCTCCCTTATCTGTATGTACTACTTGGGAAAGTCTATGTTTTTGTCCCTATGCTCTTTCCCTTTCCTGTATCTAGTCAAGATATATTCGTGCAAATGACCTAACTGAATGTTACACTCCACAGATCAGGTGAATACGTTTCTGTGTATTACAGTGGCTTTATATTTTTAATAGCAGAAAAATGATTTATCTTCATTTATTTTACCTTAATCTTAATTTTCAATACATAAGAGAATTAAAACTAATAGGAATATCTTAGATGCTTGCAACCACCATTGGACTGAGCACAGGGACCCCAATGGAGGAGTTAGGGGAAGGACTGAACGAGCTGAAGGGGTTTCCAACCCCGTAGGAAAAACAACTATATCAATCAACAAGACCACCCAGATTTCCCAGGAAATAAACAACCAACCAAATAGTACACATGGAGAGATGCATGGCTCCAGCTACACATATAGCAGAGGATGGCCTTATCTGGCATAAATGGGAGGAGAGGCTCTTGGTCCTCTGAAGGATTGATGCATTAGTGTAGGGGAATGATAGGACGGTGAGGTGGGAGTCTTTGGGTGGGTGGGGGAGCACCCTCATAGAAGCAGGGGAAAGGAGGGATGGGATAGTGGGTTTACAGAGGGGAAACTGGGAAGGGGGATAATATTTGAAATGTAAATAAATAAAATAATCAATAAAAAATAAAAATAAATAAAATAGAATCAGGAGTTATATATTTGTCTTTTCTGTATATACGTCTAAAGATACTAATTTCAAATACCAAATATTATAAACTATATATTTGTATATAACTGCCTTCATTAAGATTAGATTGAAAATAAACCTATGTCAATATCAAAAATCTAGAGGAAGGGTGTTTTGGGAATTGGAAATCATGAGGACTTTTGTTGTATGCTACAGGATCCACGTAAAAATAAAGCCACACATAGTGATGCATGCTTTTAATATTTTCTTGAAAAAGTAGAAATATGTGGGTGCTGGAGATCTGTCTAGTCAGCACAGGTCACTGGAAAATCTTGTCTCAAAGGCAAAGCATGCAGTGCTGGAAAATTTGTACTCACGATTGATCTTTGACCTTCACACATATGTATGCTATACATAGTGACCCACCCACACACATAAACACACACACACACACACACAGACACACACACACACACACACACACACACACACACACACACACACAGGGATAAACTCATAGACACAGATTGCAGAAAAAGTGTCACTCTTTGTGTGTAGTCTGAGCTATTAAATGATGTGAACCTTATCTCAGTATCAATTTTGAATACACAGAGGGTTGAAGTATGACTGTATAAAAGCAAGGAACCTTGTAAGGTTACAATTTATTTAAAAACAATCGTAATTTCTGCTTGGACCACATGCAATTGACAAGCTCCTGCTCTTCCAGCAGCAGTTCAGCACTCATGCTCATCTCTCTGTCTTTTGGATGATGAGATGCTGTGCCTCATATCATGCTCCTGATTCTCTCTTCAAGCCTCAGGCATTTCAGATAATATATCATTAAGGGAGGTTTTTGAGGCCTAAGCCAGAAAAATTTTTATTGTCTGTCTGTCTGTGTATCTATCTCTCTGTCTCTCTAATCTCTCTCTATATCTCTCTCTCTCTACCTATCTATCATCTATCTATCTATCTATCTATCTATCTATCCATCTATCTAACATCTATCTAGTTATCTGTCTGTTGATTTGACTGTTTGATTTTTTATTTATTTATTTATTTGTGTATTTGGTGAGATTGGTGGTGGTGGTGGTGGTGGGATGTGTGTGTGTGTGTGTGTGCGTGCATGTACACACACTCATTTTAGAGACAGAGTCAAAGACAGGTCAGGCTTTTTGAAAACTTTGTATTTCTGATATTTTGTTTTAGTCTCCCAAGTTCTCGAGTTATAGATATAAACTACTAGACACAGCTAAGACTTTTCTCTGTTTTATACTTCTATTTGCTTGCTTGCATGTTTGTTTACTTTAGGTCAAGTTTCTACTATGTGGCCTCAGTTAACTTATGATTCATTATGCAAATAAGACTTGTCTCAAATTCATAGAACTCTGCCTATATCGTCCTCCAAACTGCTGGAATTTAAAAACACTCTTTTATGTTTATTTCTATGAATGTTCTGTTTACATGTTTGGTTGTGAAACAATACTTGTATGACCATGTCCTCAGAGTTCAAATGAAAATATGAGTTCAAATGAAAACTCTTAAATTAGAATAAAGGTTGACTGTCAGTTACCACATTGCTGTTAGAAACATAACCTGGGTCCTCAACAAGGGCAGCAAAGTTGTTAAAACACTGTAATTATGCCTCAAAGGTAATCTGGTACCTGTGAGTTATTTCAATAATTACTTATCCCAGATGTATTCATTTTATACCTCATGTATAAAAATTACTTCAGCCAAACATAAGGTTTTCAGCTGATTTTTTTTAAAATTGTTGTTGCTGTTTTTGCTGTTTCTATTGTTTTAATTAATTTCAAAACATTTCTTCTAATTTCTACCGTCTCAGATAAGAAATTTGCTGTTGGTAATCATATCTGGCCTCAACATATAAACTGCTACTCACAGCCTGATGCATGTTATCTCCTGGGCAGGTAGATGTTAAAGGTTGACTATGCTATAGCTTATGGAGATTATGAAGACATTTATAACCTTTGAACTTTATTCAGATTCTTGAATTTCTGGCACTGTGCAGCATTAGCTATATCGCTGTAGTTGTTTCATACTCTCTATTTATACTATTTGACCTAGTTACTTTTCTATTATTATGACTTGAAGCATAATTATAATTTTTTTGCCAACTTCTTGCCAACTTGTTGGTCTTGTTGAGGATACATATTTGGTTTCTAACTGTAAAAGTATGGCTTTCTATGCCCATTCTTTTGCTGAATATTGATATTGAGTCTTATGTTTATTTATAAGCTTCAGGTGTTTTAACTGGGTAGATTCTAAGTGAATTTAACCTGACAATGCTATCCTGGGTGATTTTAACCTGACAATGCTATCCTGGGCCTGGCCTCTTTTTTTTTTTTTTTATGGAGAAATATTGAAGGATTAATGTACCTTGTATTGACAAAGCATGACAATTGATTTCCTTCGTTTCCTGCTTATCCACTATTACGGCAGTAACTGTCAGCAGTTAAGGCAAAAACAGCTTTTTGCAAGTGGCAGCTTGCAATGTTTGAGTAAAACTCCATATGAAGGTTCTTTTCTTCTATGTTCATTATCGTTGAAGTATAACAAAGTGCTCTAGGAATAGACATGTCTCAATATCAAAAACGCCTTTTATTAATAAGACTTTTTACATACCATATCCACTGTGGAAGCTATAGTATTTCACAGTGTGTCTCACAGAATTCTGTTTTGTCCACAGTTCTTTGCTTGGAAATGTTCATTGAAATAACTCCTTGATCTGGTATGAGACCTCTGCCTTCTGCCACTCTACCAATACTGGAAACTCACTGGGACTCCAGTAGGATATCCTGTTGTTGTCCAGTGTCATGGAGATCCTGTAGTTTGAGATCCAGAGGTCAGACTACTTCATGTACTCCAGCATTTGATCAATGTGATAGATGTTAGGAAAGGCCATTTTAAAGCCCTGGATCTAGGCCTGAGAGGTACCTGACCTGGTCTGAGCCAACCAACCCTACTGCTCTCAAGTCATTGATCATAAACCCTACTCACATTAGGACCACCTCTGTGGTGTTGCTCAGGTGTAGATAAGGGCCAGCTCTCTCAAATGCTGCAGTAGATGAAGCCCAGGGCCAGATTTCCTGCTCTCAAGGTCCCATAAGGGCCAACTCTCCACCCATCATCAATGGTGAGGGAAGAAGGGAGGGGCTGGATCCTCACTGATAGATACCACTACATAGTAGACAAGAGACAAAGCTGGTTTTCCCAAAGGCATGCTGGGTGGTTCACATTAACCCCCAGGTCCAGGTCTAGTTCTACTGTGCTGTCCTAATGAGGTACATGGGCCTGCTTGCTTGCTCTCACCACCCTAGGTTCAGATCTCCCACCTGCCACAGATAGTGTGGGGTCGAAGGAAAGGAGGGGATCTCTTTCTCTTCCACGCTACCACATGAGATAAGAGTGGTAGGGCCAGCTCCCCATTCTCTTATCCTCTATCCTGGCTTACCTGTAGCTCCTGCTATGTGTTTTCGTTCTCCCACACTACATCTGGCTAGGGACAGATACAGTTTTCCTGCTCTCATGCCCCAGGACTGGGTAAGAGGTGAGGCCAGTTCTGCACAGCCCTTATGCATCAACATGTCCCCTGGAGGCAGCCCAGACCAGAGATGCCTGCCTGGCCTTTGGTGGTAACAGACATCTGCTGCTAAAAGGACATGAATCCAAATATAGCCATGGTGGAAGCACAGCCCAGGACCCCACCATGGTCTGAGGTGGCACCACCTCACTTTCTATTCATATCACTATTCTCAAGTCTCCAGTTCTGCCTCTCTTCATTGTGCCCATATTCTTCTGTTTCTTTTTCTTGTCTATTTCTCCAGCATTTACTTGCTTCTCTTACTGGCAACAGGGGTATCAGCATGTCTCAAGTTATCTCAAAAGTGGTTTCAGGAGTACTATGTCCCACTCATCCACTTTGGCACCAGGCAGAGGTCATCTCAGGCATAGTCGGCTCCCCTCCCCATGTCTACACAGTGCTAGTTCTATATCTCAGTTTAGCTCCCTATCAGGGTCCCCATGGCACAAATCTGGTGGTTGTTTTGGGCTTGCTCCTCACCTGATCTGCCCAAGTGGTCTCAAGAGAGCATCATCTGTCGGAAACTCAACTCCTGCTTGGTGCCTGTGGTCCCAGGCAGGGTTGTTGTAGTCTCTGGCTTGCTCCTTCTCCTAGGAGAGTGTCCTTGCATGTGTGGAGCCAGACTTGTGGTTGTTTTAGGCTTGTTCTTTTCATGGAATTTTAGGCTACAAATCATTCAGCTGTTCATAGGTCAGAACCCTGAGCATAGACATAGACTGTCTCCTCTCTTCTGCCTACTGAAACATATATGACACAGTAACCACACATGCAAAGCCTCTAGGGGCAGGCCAAGGAAATTAAAAAAAAAAAAACCTGTTTAATTAAAGGCTTATAGTCCCAAAGATAATTCTGTTACTATCATGGCAGGAACAAAAGAGCAGACATGGTACTAAAGCAGTAACTGAGAGATCACATGGTGAGCTACAAGCACAGCCATAAGAGCTACCCGACAAAGCCATGAATTATGAAAACCTCAAAGCCCACCCTCAAAGGTATACCAGCTCCAACAATATCGTACCTCTAAATCATGTTAACTGGGGACTAAGTATTCAAACATATGAGCCAAATGGGACATTTTTATTCAAACAATAACACCATTCATGAAATCTGTCTCCTTTATTATCTGTGTCATTGTCCAGTTGTATCTGTGTTAGAACTCAAGAGACTAGGACAACTTGCACAAGTGGGCACAAAGCCCATCCCTTAACCAATAAGGTTCTTCCAATGGACAGGAGAGCTCAGGAGCATTTTGCCAACACATAATGGACCCTTGTGTGTCTACATGTGTGTTTGTCTGTGTTTGTGTGTATGTGGTATGTTCATTTTTATTTTTTGCTTACCTTTTATTTGTTTGAGAGAGAAAGAGAGAGAGAGAGAGAGAGAGAGAGAGAGAGAGAGAGAGAGAACATAAAATATAAGAAAAGTTATTGGAGGGATACTATGATCAAGCATACAAACATTTAGAGATAAATAAATTTCATTTCATATAAAAGTACTTAGCATCTTTCCAGACTTGATTTGCAAATGTTCCTTGGTTGGTAAAGAAAGTCCCAATCTTGGCAAATGTCAGATCGTCTTTAAATAATGTCTTCTTCAGATCAGACACAAGGCACATTGACTGGTTGTCCAGGTTATTTAGATTAACAACTGAATATGATCCAGTTGACAAGCCAACATGTGTATAAGTGACTAATGTCGTTTCTTCCTACTCATGGTAGGGCTGTCCAAGGGGAAAGGGAACCTTAGGTGTATGCTAAGTTCCTCTTTCCCTGCAATTGTTACACAAAGCAGTTTCAAGTTTGGGCGACTGGTCTGCACTGATTGATGTAGACATGTCCTTGTTTAGGCCAAACTTGGTCACTGAAGGATGAGGAAAGAATCTTAGATCTACATGGATCCAAAGAAGAATATTGTTAAATTTTAAGTGGACATGTCTTGGTACTATTCACCAGGGAATCTCAGCTTCTCAAAGCATAAGAAGAGTGACCTTACAAACTTATCTGTTTGGTGGCTATGGTTCTCATTTGTTATGGAAAGAATTGACCTACTTGGTTTAACCTCTATATCTAGGTACTTCTGGAGAAACAGAAACAAGATGGGGTTAGTCTTTAGGGTATGAGGATTTAAAACATGTTTGGTTGCTAGTCAAAACTCCCACTTGGAATCCCAAAGTAGCTAAATTTTATCGTACTAATTCTTGATATTTCTTTTGAATACTTACATTGTTATTTTAAAAATTGATAATTATAATTAGGGTAGAAACAGAGAAATGTGACTGTATTCAGCTATTTGAATTTATAGTCTCAAGAGCAATATTACAGATCTTTTGCTTGTAATATGCATTACCTTTATAAAATTTTGCTCTCACTCTCTTTACGGAAAAAATATATATGGATAATATATATTTCATAATAAATGTGAAATATAATTCATTACTTCAAATTTTCTGTAGTGATTTTCTAATCAATAGTAATCAAGTGAAAGAATGTAAGCATACTTAACCTTATAATAATATAGATAAGAAAATCAGTGGTTTTATGATCATGGTATTTTAAAATTTAATTGAAATTATGATTTAAAGCCACATGTGTACAGAATTTTTTTCAAACTCATACATGATTTAAAGGATAAGAATGTGTTTCTTAGAGATATTAGAGTAAGTGTGTTTGTTAATTGTAGAAGGCTTTAAGCTTAAATATTGCTATTTCTTATTTCTGTATTTGGGACAAAAAAGGAAATGAAAGAGATGGCAACCTTTCTGTTGTTGAGCATATATTTTTGAGACAGGACCAATAATCAGCCTCTGAATAAAATACTATCATTGTATTATACAATTATTTTAAACCAAAAGAATAATATTATAAAAGATACCTTGAAAACAATATAACGAATTCTTTACATATGTTCCCTGTTCACTTGCTTCTATTTTAACTTTAAATTGTGCGTACAAATAACAATTTCATACTTTAACTTACCTCCTTCTATTTCTCAAACAATGGCTTTTAAGTATACTTTCTTATTAAATCTGACAGTAGTGAACCATATTGTGTACCACGTTTTATGTTGAAGGGAATATTGAGAAGAAACTCTCATAGTATTATTTCCTTATAAGTACTCCAAATTCTTCTGCATCTCATCTACAAATAAAAGAGTTTCTGATCCTCATTGGCAATGCAGTATGTGTGAGCTGTCTTTACAAGTGACATAATTTATAGAGGATGGAGAAGCAATTAACAGTATATGAGTAATCAGGACAAAGTTAATTTTGTGATAGGGCAGTAAAACTGATTAGCAAAGATGCAACTCTGACACTTTTAAATAAAAGATAATAATAAAAGTTTCAGAAACTGTGATTCTGTATTGACATGTTCACCTGCCGCCTCCTGCTTATTCTAGGCTTTCACGACTGCCTCCGACACAATAATTTAACACTCAGAACTGACTCTTTCTTAATGACACCATCCTTTCAGCAATACACTAATAGATCATGGGCTGATGATGTTCATTAATGATGAATCACACTAATACATCACTTTCTCTGTCACACAGGTGTTTTATCAGATTAATTTCTTCAGAGCAATGACCTGTGATGATGATGCATGGCTTAAGGATAATGCAATTCAAAAAGAAATGAAATTCAGAATTAAAACCATTTTCAAGAGCATTGGAGCTCTATTAGAAAACTTTATAGAAACAACAAGTGTGAATGTGACATGTATTAAAATGTCATGCATATATTCTATTATTACTAGAAAGGAGAGCAGAGCATCTCATCTGTGTACTTAAATAGTATTTTAAAAGCCCATATTTAATAATGCTAAAATAATAAATCTTTGGTTCTTTTAAATGTATAAATATATTTTATCTCCAGGATGAAAAGTATTAAAATATATATTCATAATTTTAATTAAAATCTGCTAAATTAACCAATTGACTTCAGTTGTTATTTTTTAAGTTAGACATTGAGTAAAAAATATATCTTATTCTTTATACATTTTAAAAGAAATGTGATCTTCATAGTTGATTTGCGTTAATTTAAAGTGATTTTTGCATTACACACACACATACACACACGTATATTGAAAGATAGAGATAGTACATATAAATGAGAAAATCTGTAAAAATGATATTTTGTCTCAGCATATATGAATAAAAATTTAAAGCTACTATTCAAAGTAATTAGACCATTTCATGGTGATAATGAAAAATGTTAACTATACCTTGTTATTTTAATTATAATGTTGAATCTCAATTAGTATTTCATTAAATTTCCTTTATGTGATTATTATCTACATGATATTAAAGACATCATTAATAATATATTTAATCATGTATTTTGCAGCTTCTTTTAAAAAATTTGTCTTTCTTTTCTTTAAATTATTACCATCTACTTACCAGCAGTTTAACCTATCCTTTCCTATATCAATTGCATTCAAATTTATACTATTCTTAGCTTTAAAAAAGATCGATTGAGGATAATAGTGACACGTTGCCACAAATCAAAGCAAATATTCTTCTTAGTTGGATGGAGTTGCATTGTTATGTGAAATGTATGTACTGGAAACGAAAATGAGACCCTCATGGCACAAAACTATGAAGGGAGATTAGTTTCTCTCAGATGTTGACAGTAATGAGAATCAAATGCAATAGGTATATTGGTGATACAACAGTGTCTCCTTCTGGTGTGGAACTAAAGGACTGTTGAAAAATATATTTTCCAGGATATTTACTTTTTGAAATGCATCGAGAAAGATAGGGAACTGCACAGATGTTTAGCAGTATATGGACTCTCAAGAATTAGTGACTGTTTCAACATTTTTCTCAGTGATTCAGAAGGAGATGATTAGAAATCTGAGTAAGAATAGTGGACTAGATATATTGATGGTGTAAGGAGGACAAAGTTGGCTATTGGTTTTCCTCATTAATAACCTGTGAGTAAAAACCAAGTGCTGAAAATGCTCATCTTGAAGAATTCAATGATGCACTGAGCATCTGAGCCTATAAACAGAGTCATTACTGTGACAGTAATGTTGGCCAAGGATCACTTTGCAATCAGAGTAATTCCCACCAAAAGAATTTTAAATATTCTAGAATATTCTGTCTCCAAAGACTAAAAATAACAGTTTCTTAGTATGAACATTTGAGTGAAGTGAAACATATTAAGGTTGTTAGACTACTAAGGTTGTTTTTTCTGATTCTGAGAAAATGTGTTAGTTATGAAAGCTCTCTGCAGGAACTAACAACGAAGAGACTGCATGACTAGTAAAGCCTCAGACCAAGCTCCAATACTGGGCAGACCAACTCCAGGTTGAGAGAAATTCAGAAATTTAGTCACAGAAAACATGTAACTGAAAAAGTAGGGGAGGAGGATTTGTGCATTTCCATGCATGATCAAATGATCTTTCAATTATGAAAAGGGAGAGAAAGAAGGAACTTGGAGAAGAGAGATGGCAAAATTAACAGCATTTACTCAAGAGAGCTAGAAAAGAAGAAAGAGATCACTGATAATCCTATTAAACGATTTCTTTGAGAAGCATTAAACTAGGTGTTGCCTGCTTGAACCCCAAGATTCTGTTTTGTATTGACAAAGAAAGAAAAGACAAAAACAAAAAACAAAACCTGTTTCTAGTTGTAGTGTGGCTTAGCCCTTAGTACACACCATTAATCTCAAATAATGAAGGGAGATATTAGTTTGTAGAAGGAAGCACCCATGTTTGAAAGATATGTTTAATTAACTGGCAGACAAAGTGACAAATCAGAGAAAAAATTTGACAGAATAATGTATGCC